TTTATCAGTTTTCATGCTGAAACATTGTTTAAAGATATTTTTGTAAATGTTCACATTTAATCCCTGTATCGGCTATCAATTGTCCTTTCTTTCTTGTATTTGCAGCAAATTAAACCTCTAACAGATTAGTGTGTTTTGCTCATATCATTCTTTTTGTTAGTGCATAAAAGCACCCAGCTGCAGGTTGATTAACCCAAACATCCCAGAAAGACACATGAACTGAAACTTCTGCAGGATAAATGCTGTAAACCTGTCACTCCTGCTGTTCCTAAAGATCTACAGGAGTTTAATCTTTAAGAGTTCTTCCTGCTGTGTGTTCAGAAAAGACATGAAAAGTACATTTTATTGTGTTTATTCTGACTTGGACAACTTTTTGAGGCATCCTGGTGATTCTGGAGGGTTCAAACAGTAATAAATCAGCAGGATTTAACAGTCGCCACATTTCCCCCTTTCACAGACAAGCTTTAGTCTCATGGAAAATGATCCTCCAGGTATTTATGGCTCGTGCCACAGCTCAGATCTTCAAAGGTCATCAAGTGTAATAATTAATTAGAATTAATTATAAATGAGTCAAAGTCCTGTTTCTTCAAAACATCAAAAAATGATAAAAAAGTTTTCCACAAACAGGATAAATTATAAAGTGCTGTTAAGAATTAGCTGGCTTTCAGATTGCAGTTATTGAAGTGCAGTAAATTACAATGAATTTTCTTTTTTTAAAGGACTGTTTTATGACTTAAAAGTACTCGTCCCCTCCATGAGTGACTTTGTTTGGGGGTTAAACATCAACATCATGTACAGAACACATTCAAAATAAAGTCCAGGGTTCCCTTTGGGTGCAGTGAGGAGTTACAGCAGTCTCTGTGTTGAAGGCATGTTTGTTTTAACTGGACGGTGTAGAAACTACTCCTGGCTGCATGTGGCGTCGTTCTTCGTGAAAAGCTCGCTGGATGTTCAGAGCATTTGAGAGGCTGCAGGCTGGATCGAGCAGTCGCCAGTCCCGTCTTCACCGTACTCCACAATCTTCATGTTCCCACCAAAATGTGGCTCCACACAGTTTAAAGTTACTGCGAGTGACCTGTGAGGCGAACAGAAACGAGTCTCAGAGAGCAAACAAACACTGACAGACTTTTGTTTTCTGGAAGCAAAGCAGTTAGTTAAAAGAAAAGGATTAAAACTAAAGATGTGGACTCAAAGGAGCTCGTCTTAGCTGCAGATTTAGAAGTTAAAGCACAAACCTCTTAGCGATCTGCAATCTCCTGATTTCCACACGTTTTAAAAAGTCATAGAAACACTTGCGGTTTACCAGCAGGAAAAACAGAGCATTGTGAGAATGTATACCTCCATCAAGGCTAAAACTGGGACAGGAAGTGAGTTCCTGTATACCACCTAAAAGTATATGTAGATCTATCTGTAAACAAATGAAGCCAGCTTTTTAACTTTGACTTATCTTGTTTTAGAAAAGAATCCTAAAAGACTTCCTTGGTAGAGGCATACAGGAATAACTGCAGTCGCATGCCCACACACAACCAGGCTGGTCTGACTCAGATTTAATTTATCTGAAATGCAGGTTTTGCAAAACAAAAAAACAAAAAAAACTTTGTCAAAGACTCTAAAACCTTCTAACACAAATAAAGAAACAACAGAATGTGAAGAATTAACCGCTAAGACATTACGTACGAGACGACTGTGGTGTTGTATTGCAAGAATATCAGGTGAAATTGAAATGTACTGTCATGTAATACCACTAAGAACCACAAGGTGGTGCAGTGAGCCAGTGTAGCACGTACTTCCTGTTAACGTGACAGAAAAAGATTTATGGAAATTCAGTTGTAGCGTTGTTTCCTCACATTCTGTTTACAACTTTAGGAAGGATTAAAAGTATCATTAATTTGACCTATTTTGCTTTAACTTATTTCATGTT